TGTTTGAGCATCGCTCATAAGCCGAAAAAAAGTTCCCTGGCCCAGGGGCCCGCCCAAATCTTTACAATCTCCCCGCTCCCGCATCGGATTGTCGCACAGTGGAGACCCACGCCAAGAAATACCCTGCTTGCTCCAGGGTACCCTGGGTTTCTTGGGTTTCGCTGGTTTTTCAATGGACGCCCTGGGGTCTCAGGGTTGGGCTTCTTGTGGAAGATTCCTTGTGGACTCGCCTCCACTGTATTCCGGGCCGCGGATCCAACGACTGTGTGGGTGGGCCGACGCTTCAAGAAGGCCGGGTATTGCCACGTGCGCGCCCCGATGCCACAAGATCGCCCGACAAGGCCGAGGTTTCAAAGCGACGTCCATTGAGTCATAGAAGGCCACCAGACTGCTTCGTGGGGATCCTACATCTGGCCCAGATTGCTTGATATTAGGAACACATGTGTGTACCCATATGTGTGCATATATTCTCATACGCACCTCTCCGAGGGAGTAGAGCTCAGAGCCGATTAATTGAAGGCGGCGTCCGCGATTTTTCTGGCCGTTTCGCTAGGGACATCCTCGAAATTCTGAAAATCGGTGGCACCCCTCACGCAGATCGTGACATCAGGGTCCAAAAACAAATGGGAATTCCAACATTCGAACATGAAACCTTCAAAAACACATTGTAATTTCAATGATGTTGACCCCGATTCTCAGAGAATGGCGATTTCGCTTGAGACATCCTCCCAAAATCGAGCCCCGACGTACCTTCTGGTACCCCAGACCCCGCCTCGGAGCCTCTTGGGAGCCTCCTGGAACCTCCTGGGACCTCCTGGGGCTTTCTGTACCCTCTGGTACCCCAGACCCCGCCTCGGAGCCTCCTGGGGGTCTCCTGGAACCTCCTGGGGCCTCCTGCGGCCTCCTGGAGCCTCTTGGGGCCTCCTGGAGCCTCCTGGGGTCTTCTGGGGCCTCCTGAGGCCTCCTGGGGCCTCCTGGGGCCTCAAAACTACATGCACACACAGAGACACAAATCACACCCAACACATCACACGCTAGACAAACATAACACACACACACACACACATTACACCTACAACGCACAGAAAGCACGCACAACACAGAGCACACACATCACATACACACACACAACACTCACAATCCCGGGGCCTCCTGGAGCCTCTTCCGGTATCCAAGTCGGGCTTCCTGAGGTTTCCTGGGGGGCCCTGGTACACACATCGCAAGGTGTGGCAACCCCACTTGCGCTCGAGTGCGACCTCGATCTTAGATTCTTCTGCGTTCACCCCCTGCCTCTTCCCCTTCTCTTAGGCACGCCCTGGCGGCGCCGCCCCAGCTTCCCCTTCTCCATCTCCGATCCTGCAGTCATGGTGTCTTCCTGCTTCGAACGCCCTTTTAGTTTTTTTGTGTATGAGCCTGGGCACACACGTGCCACTTGCCACTTGTGCATATATATATATATATATACATACATACACATATTCCCATATATGTTTTGTTTAAGGTTGGGGACCCAGGACAGGGCCTAACCCCCCACCCCCGAACGAATTTTGGATTCCCCGGGCTGCTCGGAAACCCCTTCTTGGGCTGGTCGGACGCCCCTGCAGAGGGCTTCTTCGGCCTTCTGGCCTTCTCGGAGGATCCAGAGAGGCCTGCAACATAGTGCCCAAGATAGCTCGTCGACAGCTCCAGAGCACACCACGACGCCCAAGAGGCGTCTAAAACGCACCCACACACGTGCACGAAGCTTCCGGATTGAGCCCACATAGCTTGACATCAGATATTCTCCGTCGGTTTTTGAAGGATTTCGGCGTCCTCGCTTTCTCACGCTGCCACGCTCCAAGACGGCGAAAGAGAACCGCCCCAAGAGCGGCTCAAAACGGCCTACGTGGGCTTCGAGACGGCCCATGAAGCCTCCAAAAGGCTCCCAGCACGACACCAGAGGGCCCTTAGACGGCCCAAGATAATGTCAAAGCGGCCCCCAACATGACCAAAACGGGCCAAGACAGCCTCAAGAAGGTTCAAAAAAGCCCAGGAAAGGGAAACGAATTCAGATTTCGAACCTACCGCCTCGACATCGCCCCAGGATCTTCCCAGGGGCTCCCCCTACGCCCCCGCGACGCCCCAAGAGGCCCTGATTGTTGCCACTTGGGCCCTCTCGGGAGTACTCTTGGAGGCCTCTTGGGGCGCCTTGGAGGCCTTTTGGGCCGTCTGGAGGCGATCTTGGGCGTCTTGGAGCGATCATCGGGCGTCTCGGACCCCTCTTGGACCGTATTTGGGGCCTTTTGGGGCTTTCTGAGACAATCTTGGGAGAGTTGAAGACGGCCCCCAGGAGTTCCGGCATCCATGAGCAGCAGTATACCTGGGGTACTTTTGGACCGGGCACCCACGGGGGGCGCCTCGCGCGCGCGAACTAGACATTGTCAAAACCTGTTACGGGAGCTCTTAGCACGCCTCTGGCCCGTTGGGCCAACGAATTTACCTTTACTCCCCGCGCGCGCAGGCGCGTGCGCATGTATGTGTACATGCGTACATACATGCATATACGTACACGTAGACATGCACGAGTATACCTGAGTCATATGTACGTGCATCCATAGTTTGACGTTATGAAGACAGCAACCCGCACATACAGACATACATATGGTCATGTAGATCTAGTACACCCTGAAAGCACGTGCGCGTGTACAAAGGCAGCGCATATTCATGCGCGAATGTACACGCGCACGCACGCCGCCTGCGCGCGAAACTCAAAGGACCAGGGTGCATAGCGCGAAGCGCCAATGCAGTCTTATCTATATATATATATATACATATGCATACCTACCTACCTACCGACCTACCTACCTACATACATGTATTTACGTATACATCAAGCAATACCATGACGTTCCTGGGGGTCCTGTTTTTCAGGTTGGCTTCATCTGCCACTACAGAACATCTTGGGAAAAAGAGCACACACTATTCCGGGACTGCCCAAAGTATGCCCAAGCCAGCCCGTGAGAGTGTCCGGAGAAACCCGAGATGACCCAAGACAACCCCAAGACCGCCAAATTTGATACCAAGATGGGTCAAGAGAACCTTTTAGAAACCCAAGATGTCGCAACACCAATGCCTTGCGACGTTTCCAACCCATATGAGAAAAGCAGGAGCACATAATCGTGGATGATGGCATGGCAAGGAACCCGTTTCGTTGTGAAACGTCCCAGGGAGACTCGCGTGTTACACGACCCAAACGGATGTTGGACCACAGGGACAAGTGCAAGAGAGAGGCGAGAGCGTGGAACCACAGTGGAACACCGCCTGCAGTGGCAGGCAGCGAAGGCGAGGCACCAGTATGATCATAGTGTTTACGCCGCACCGCCGACCTGCAGGAAGTTCCCTGGCTTCTCATTCTTGGAGGGCCATGGATCATTGAGGGCCCGATGACCTTGAAGTCTTGAGGGGCTGTCCCAGAGCCAGAGCAAGTGCTCCTCCTGACAATCTGGGGACTCGGTGTGGGCCATTGTCAGAGCCCTTGTGGGAGCCGTCTCTCCAACTGGCCGTTGTGGGGGGGGGGCACTGCTGCTTCCCCTGGGGAGGGCAAGCGCTCTCCACGCGCCAAGATCCCGAAGAGGTCGGCGATTTGTTGCCTCTCGGGGGGCCGCGGCGGGATATTCTTGGAGCCCCCTCCTCCTCCTCCTCCTCCTCCTCCTCCTCCTCCTCCTCCTCCTCCTCTTCCTCCTCCTCCTCCTCCTCCTCCTCCTGTGTCCTTTGGGAGCCAGCCTGGCATAACCTTGGAGCCGTGTGGGGCTTTCCCAGAGGCTATCTGGTCTTGCGCAGTCTTCGCGAGGCCGTCTTTGGCCATCTGGAGCCCTGTCTGGAAGCGCTCCTGAGACCAGGCCAGCGCCACCGTGGCGTCATATGGGATGCGATTCGCCAACTTTCAGCCATGCGCGAGTTCCCCAGGAAGCCTGCAGGATGGTGGTGTGCCGAGGTGCGCGAGGAGTTTCTTTTGCATACCAGTAGCACGCGTGCACAATAAGGATCACCCGAATGCCGATATCGATATCCGAGCCAATGTCGAAATGCAGCAGTCACCAGGGGCGGTCGATGTGATTTCGGAAATGGCGCAACAGAGCGTGCTTGGAAGATAAGCACGCGCGATGACAAACAACCGCGGCCAGCATGTATCCAGTATGTCGCGATACCCTTTGGGGGCTTGGGTTTCTGGTAGCATTCTGTCTGGGGGCTGCTTGGAGCTTGCTGCCCCACGGGGTATTCTCAAGCCTCTTGGAGCCGTGGGTACCAGATTGTGTTTCGCAGAACGCAACGGGCTCCGTGGAACAGGTGCCAGGATGCGTAGTATGGGTCCTGATTTCTTCGCGTGATATGAGTGACATAATGACGTGACAGATCGGCTCAGTGTTGGTCAGATCGGCGCGCATGTGCCATACATGCACACGTTTCTTGGTGTCGCGGCCACGCGCGCAGCGACGCAGCGTAGTCAGTCAGCGTCGGAAGATCCATGCTTACACGCACGGGTTGCTCGCAATCTTGGCGAGGTGTTTTGGAAGAGAATGTTCCGAGGTATTGCGGCCATTTCTCCCTCACGCCACTTGCCCACGGCCAGGCGATCATTTCTGGCATGCTAGACCTCTCCAGAAGGAGAATGACGATGAGCATGTTCGATTCGCATTGCGGGTCGGGCTATCCTGACGCCATGCAGGGGTTGTCCCAGATTCTCTGGGAGATCAACGGGGGGACGATAACATAAGCCTCAGCGAAGGCTTCGAAACAACTCGAGCGCTAGGGATCGAGGCTCAGCTAGTCTGGCAGTCCAGCGGGCGAGGAATTGCGTTTAGCTAATTCAAGGGCAGTGGGATATTGAGGGTGCACCGCCCTCTTGCCTAAACAGTTGCGTTCGGTAGCAAAGCACGGGAGCCTGGTATAACCTCGCAATTCCGTCTTCAGCGTCGACCAGCGTCTGGGAGCCGATGAGATGTGCCGCTTTAGCGTCGGCT